TCTCCACTTGGGCAATTAACCCAGACTAACTACTGGAGTGAAGAAACACAATTCCATCAGAATCACAGAATTCCCTCTTTGCTCTGTCCCAGAAAGCCTGCATGCCAAAGCCACCAGGTCCTGTTTCAAATCATAGTGACCCAGTGAAAGCCAGGGTTCTCAGGCACATGGCACAATTACAACCAAACTGGGAATGAGAGTGGACTTTACCCTATTTGATGCAGCTTGGGGTAAGGGGGAAAGGGATGTTGTTACAGAATAGTATAACAGGAGAATGATTGATAGCAGCAGCATTTACATGAACTCCAGTCTGAGTAAGAAAAGCAGAGATACAGACTGCAATCACTAGTTTTTATATTACCATTTTTGTTCAATGTCATCTCCAGTGCTCCGTTACTCCATTATAACACTATAAACAATCAGGATGACCCAAGAAATAACAAATGAAGCTCTTGATGTTTTATCATCTGGATGAAAACAACTTACAGGTCTTTCGTCTTCCTAATAAAATTCTTGATAGTCTTTACTTTTTTAATGTTCTAATTGGCTGCTAGTGAGTTCCTCTTTCTGCACCGCTTTGAAGAAAACCTGCTTATATCAGCAAACCACATTGGGCAGATAATATTTTGCTGATACACAGAGCCAGTGCTTGAACAGAACCTTGTTTATTTGCCTTTTCAATATTGTGACATTTCAGACATCTCCTTGCAGCCAAACCGCCTGCGCGTGCCATTGTGTGGGGAGGCTGAGATCTGCCTGCCGAGCATTCCTGCTGCGGCTCCGGCGACGCTGCTCAGCTCCTGCACAGCCAAACACACAATGTGGGATGGTGGCATGCTGCTAAATCCAGCTGCTGTGTTTCGCCTCAGAGAAAGCTGCATTACACCTGCTGTGAGAAAGGATCCTCCCCCAGCTCTGCACGCACAGACCCAGCCATCCTCATGGAACAGAGGGTCTGGTCCTGTTCAGGCTCTGACTGCAGGCACGGAGTAGCACAGGCATGGAATCAGAGGAGAGCACCTGGAGTCACAGGATAAAATGCAGCAGATGACCACTGGTGATTGAAGCTGAGAGACCAGGCACAGATCCTTGGTCCCTTTTTCCCTGCTCACTTTGCAGGGGAGAGGGGTTCTTAGCAGTGGGGCCAGCACCCAGCTGGGGTCATAATAGCCCAAGGGGGTACTGGGCAACTGCAAGGGTGGTATGGGGAGAAGGGAAAGACACATCCTTCCTGCTTGCCAGCTGCAAACTTGGTGGTTGTTTTCCAGCCCAGCATGGCCACTGGGAGGGTGAGGTGTCTCTATATCCACACTTCTCCACCTGATGCTTGGGCAATTATTTATGCATGCACTCAGCTGCAAATCCCTATTCAGCTAACAGGCTCCAAAAGCACTTTCCAGCAAGAAAAACATGGGCATTATATCTGTAGATGTCTTTTACTGCACAGTGGAAATGCCAGGAGTTATCCCTGCTACTCCAATAAAGGAGTGTCCTTTCTCAGCTCCTTTGGGAACTACAGCAGCATTACTGAGCTATCCCCTCAGGACAGGATTCTGCTACCACCACCAGCAAATCCATCAATGTTGATGGAAGACCTCAAACAGCATCCAGGGAACCTGTCCCAGTGAGGCACCAGCCTGTCACAAGGGTCAACACTACTGACAGGTGATGTTCACATCACTCTCCTCATGCTCCTCCATTCTGCACTGCAGACAAGGGCAAGGAAACTACATTCAAAATATTACATTAGGAGGTAGCTTTGACCCCACATGGTGCTCAGGTGCAAATGTCTCCCCAGGGTGAAAGACAACAGATAATTGGATTTGACAAGCAATTTACAGTAATGCTTTCATCTTTGCAGAGTTAATTCAATCTTTTCAATCCTATTTGCTGAAACACTGGCACTCACATGTATTGTGCTGCCATCATTTGACCCATGCTCAGGAGCAGATGTGACTGGTTGCACGACTAAATGATGCAGCAATACCCTAATTTAATTTAAAATCTGTGTTTACAGATATCCAGCCCTCACAGAAGCAGCACAGGGCTGACACTTGGCTTGCTGCTTTGGGTTCTGTTTGCTGTACTTCTTACACCTCTGTGGGGCAAAAAAATCCTGTGGTATGACCAGCCTTACTGCCCTATTACTAAACTGAAAAACAACCTGACTCCCAATTCAAGCATATGCACTGCTGAAATAGCACAGCCAAACTCTCCTTGGATTTGAATCCTTGGGACAGAGCAGCCTCTTACTGCCTGCAGTGCCTAATAGAATTTGCAAAGAAGTATTTTAAAAAATGCAGTTTCTACTAATGCTACTGCAGTTTCTACTAATGCAGTTTCTACTAGCTCTCTAAACCACTGAGCCACTTCCCACAGAGACAGCCATTTGGGGAAGGGTGGGCTCTTTTTTAAAGAAACATGAAAATGGAGTAGTAAAATTAATTATCTGTATTCCTCCCTCCTTGCTCCTGGGCAGCCCCCCGGGTTTCCCCATGGGTCATATCCCGTGTCACTGTCAATGGCAGCCACTGCAGCCCTGATTAAGTCATTACAAGTCAGCCCTTGTTCCTCCACTTCCAGTCAGGAGCAAAGGAGACATGTGCAGGCTTTGGAAGCCCTGAAGTGCAGCTCTGTCGTTGACACAGCAGGGTGAGTGGAGCTGGCAGGGACCTGCGGACTCCAGCTGTTTCAGACATGAGTGGTGCCCGTGAGCTGGCTGAGCATTACTCCCTGAGAATTTGCTTGGTTCTCTCCTAGAAGTGCCCCATGGGAATAAGCAGGGATATTATCAAAGAAGATTGATTATGCTAAGACCACCTTACCACGCATGGTATCAGATTGCAAACCCCATGTTCCACCAGTGCTAGGTTAGAAGTTCAAGCTTCCAGCAAAAATCTGCAAAGCACAAGTCATCCCAAGATCTGGAGCTAATTTCTCTTTGGGCAAGAATCTCTGCACATCAAGCCATAGATTTCCCAAAATGTAAGGGTTACCCAAAGTCCCCCTTAGCGTTCATTTGCCTTTCCAACTCTCTTTGCAGGCTTCATTAGAGCTGGAAATACAAATTTCTATTCAAGATCCAAAGCAGTTTTCTTTGCCTCACCTAAGAGATGCTCAGGCATAATCAAAAATGCAGAAAGTAATAGGAGGGGATAAATAAAAAAAAACACCGATCACCTCTGGGAGTCTAAAAGCATGTTATGGCAGCCTGAGCACACAGGGCCTTGTCTCCATCTCACAGCTGGGAAACTGAGGCACAGATGGACACAGTGACACAGTACAGAGACATGGCAGGACTGTGGAAATCTCAAGTGAAGACCTCAATTTCTCTAACTCTGCACTTCACACTGCAAGAGCTAGAGGCTGTTGTAGGGGGCTGACACTGCTCATGCAGTGTTGGCCCTGACAGAGATCCCTGGGAGGGAAAAGGGTTAAAGAAGGGAATTTTGTTACTTTCTTGTCGTATTTTCTCGTGGGGGGAGAAGCGTCATGCAAGCAGGAGTTTTCCACTGGCTAGGCCCCCTTGCACTTATCAATGGGACCTTTCAGGACTCACTCCCTGATTGAGACATCATTTCCTGTCCAACACACTAACCCCATTGATAACTCCACACTTGATGGGAGCTTTTCAAACCTACCAGGAAAGGCCGGGAGACCCAGAACAACATATACATGAAAACAGAACTGGGGTGAAAACAGAAAGAAGAGAAAAGAGAAAGAAACAGTTTTGGCCACAATTTGCATGCTGACAAGAAATGTTTGTGACTATGGAGCTGTGCACCTTTGGCAGGTACAGCAGACACAGAGAAGATGCTGACATTCTCTTACAGCAGTGGGACTGGCAGGCCTGGCACTTCAGCCCAGTTAGAAATGGAGATGGGCACAGGAGGAAGCTTAAAAACATCCCTCTCTGGTCTTCCTGCCACACAGCAAACAGAAATTAGGGCTGGCTATAGAAATGGTCACATTTCACCCACAAGGCCAGGAATACCATAGTAACAGATAGAGCTTACAAAACAGCCTAGAAACTTCACGTTTGCAAGTACAAGAAATTAAACATAAAGAGGAGCAGAGATGAAACTAGAGCTCTTTAAGATACCCCAAACAAGAACTTTTTTTTTCCTAATTCATCATACAAAAAGGCTCAGCGTTACTTTTCAGGACAAAGCCATGTACATCCTCAATATTGACTGTGAGGACTCACTTGGTATTATAACATCAGCCCAGCTCCAAACACAAGTTCCAGTCCAAAAATCAACTTTTTCCTCAAAGTTCAAGTGTCTCAAACCACAGCTTTTACTTTTACCCCAGGCAATTAGTTTTGCTGCCTACAAAGATAAAAAATATCAGTGGATCTGGATTATTGCCAAACACAACACCAGCCCCAAAGCCCCCCCTAACCCATGCAGGTGCCTGGGAGCACTACCAGAAATGAAGCAGCTGATTCCTGGTTTCAAAATCTGGTCAGCAGCTATCCAGCAAGAAAGCTTTTGATGAAATCGAAACATGCAGGCACAGAACAGAGGAAAGGAGCTGTACAAAACAGCAGGAGCCAGGACACTGGCTGGCTAGGTAAATGGTTAGGAAGAGAGACTGGAAAGTTTCCACTGCAATCTCCATTTCTGAACTGCTGCAGGAGTGTGCAAAAGCTCTGATGTTTTCAGTTACTTGGGTAAGTAGTTTCTGGGGGCCCAAAATGTAGCACTCTCTCTGTTTTAAGTGCATCAGAAGTATTTAAAATTAGATCCCCTCTTTAATAGGAACCATTCATGAAAATGTCAGCTTCAAATGTCTTTGCAGTGCAAGTTACTCACTGTGAGCATACCACCCACTTATCTTATACCCTACAAGGGCAGAGTCTGAAAAGTTTCAAGATCATGACATGTAACAGACCAAACAAGAACAAAGCCTTATTTAAAGGCACTGTTAACCCAGCTGGAAACATGACTAGAAGCATGAGTAGAAATAATATTTTATGTCAGACAGGACAGACTTACCTGCAGGTCAAAGAACTTGCTGTATCTCCGGTAGATGATCTGGGAAGTCAGGTCAGACCATGTCACATTGATGATATAGACCTGTTCAGGGAAAAGAAAACACAAATCAGCCTGGGCCAGGAAGCACAGGATACATGCAAAGGCAGAACAGTGAACGTAGGTTAATTTCAGATCTCACTGGCTGTTGTCACTCACAGTGAGGAATATAGCCCTGGGAGCAGGACTAGCCTAAATTAAAGCCTGTTGCAGCCTCCAACAGAAGTCTTGGGAGAGTATTCAGTGCTCTCCCACACATCCCCACCAGCAGCTCCCACTGACTTTGCTCTGCCTGGGATAAAAGCTCTAATTGAGTGACACCACATTTTCTGGTCTGTGGTAGCACACCCTGCCTTCTGTCCTCTTTGGAGGGTCCCAGGGCCAGCTACAGGCACGGCTGGGTGAGCTGTTCCACCCCTGGAGCAACAGCTCCTCATGGGGTGCTGATCTCCAGCCCCACACTCCAGGTTGTCTTTGTGTATGGAGCTGTGGCTGCCACCCTTCCCAAGCAAGGAGTGGCTCTGGTCCAACAGGAAATCCAATGGAAACGCAGCTCCCCAGGTGCTGTGGAATTACAGCCATGCAACACCATTGCTTAGTCACACCCATACATGTGTGACAGAAACCAAACCCTGCCACGGCACACAGCTCTTGCTGAGTCACACCAAGGGATGTAAAGCTGGACAGTGAGAGTGACACTGCTTCCTTGCATTGATGGAAACAGCAACAGAAACCTCGAACAAGCCCAGGATTTCCCTTGCCCAACCCTAGTCCATCCCCAAAACAATCCTCTTACAGAAACACTGTTTTGCCAGAAGCTGTGATAAACATGATTCGCACGCACACTCACACAAACTTGTACATACACATATAAATACACACACACAAAACACAAAAATGTGGCCTTTTCACCCTGGTACCTCCAAAATATTTTTTTTAAAAGTTGCAAATACACCAGGTTCTGATCTCTCATACACTTGCCCTCAGGCCAATGCTGGTCCTGCTGCCTTGATGACAGATCCACAACAAGACTTCAACAAACACAGGATGGAGCTATCAAGGCTGACCACGGACATCAATATAATGAAAATCACAGCTAGGACGTCTCCTGGGCCTTTAAAGCAATTCCCAGGTTTCACATATGGACTGAGATAACGATCTGGCAGAGAAAACAGGAAAGCATTCCTCCTCCCTCAGCCACAGCTTTGCAGCAGGAGATGTCCCTTTTGCCATGGATCCAGAAGTGAAGATCTCTGTCTCCAGCAACAGGGGATGGATAAGCATCACCCTCTTCTCCATCTCCCCCAAGACACCAGACCATCTTCCAAGCTACTGATTCAATTTTTCTGTACTTTTACCAATAAAAAATATTACATAAAAATCCCAGAAGGGGTGTTGAATATTGGGCTCAACAACACTTTTCCAAGGACCACCAATGGATGGTTTTTTTCCTCTTCTTTCCCAGTAGGAGAGGCACCCTCCCAGAAACCACAGAGATCCTGCAGCCATGCTTTCCTCTCTGCTTGTTACAACCACATTCAGTCCCCAAGGCAGTCTGCCTCCCATCTCCTGCAGCCCAGTTTCATGGCATTCACTAAGTGGAGATGCTGAGCACAGGCTGTTAAGGAGGTCTGGGGCCTTTGTCATGGTTGCATCAAACATATCTGCTCTTTCCAGCACGGCAGAGACCATCAAGGCTGACAAAGGAGGTAAGAGCCTGACTCTCAGCAAACCCAGGTTACTCTGCTGCATCTCATTATTCTCCTGGAAAACCAAACCACCTGACCTCCTTCCTGCAATGCCCATATACACAAGGGTGACATCAGCCCTGCCCTGCTGCTTGGAGGGGAGATAAGCCTGTGTAACATGAAGATTTCAGGTCCCCTTTAAAGATCTTACCCACAAAGTCAAGGCAGAGGAGTCAGAGCCTGGGAAGGAAGCTGCTGTTGCCAATTTTCAGGCCGGCCACACTACACTGAAGAATATTTTTCCATGTGTTTGTTGTGGGAAAAAAAAGTTTGTAGCTTCACTCTGAGCTAATTCACACACAAATATTTCTACTCATCCTCTATCCAACAGCTACTTTTGGATGGAAAACCCATTGGATTAAAAACAGATCTTGACAGATGGGAGCTGAATAGGCTCCAAAAGCAACTTCAGATACTGTAATTCTGGCCCTGAGTTCTCACAAAGGAGATGAGACAGGAGGAGAAACATATTGCACATGTAAATAAGGATTATAATTTTTCTTTCATTATGCATCTTTTCTTCAGAAACTAGAAACAAAACACATATGCCACAGACATCTAGGCACTTTGCATTTCATGGCACTTCAGGCTTCTCTGTGCTGTTCTTCAGAACCCACAAAAACTGTGAGTTCCTGAAATTTTTAACAGCTACAAGTCTGCTTGTTCAAAGTCTAATCCAGGCAGAAGTCAATCCTGCTTTAAGATTCCAGTTTGGTGGTGCAGTAAGTGGCACAACGCCTCCATGACACAAGAAGGGGCAGAGTTGGGTGCACAGGGAAAAGAGGTTGGATTTATTTGGTGCAGGGAACAGGTGTAGGATCAGCACCCCAGTGCATGGTGCAGATACATTCCCAGATCTGAAATTCAGGCTCTGTGGGAATGAAGCTGCCACTGACCTCAGTCAAGCCAGGATTTTGCTGCACATTTAGGACAGCAATTAAATATTGTTGAGTCTAAGGTCTCCTCAAGCTCAGTAAGTGATGGATGGGGCAGCATGCAGATGCACTGACTTCTATTTCAAGGAAAGATTACAGCAGAAGCAAGAAAAGCCTTTAATCATAACCTGGTGCTATGGGAAGTGAGAAAGCAGTGAGCTCAAAATCTGCTTGGTGGGAGACAGGTGCAAAACCTAAAACAGCTATTGATCTTTTTTTGCTCGTTGGCCCAAATCGCTTCCCAAAAGCCACCATTTAAAATAATGGGGTTTGGTTGCAAAAGATTTGGAAAATGGCAGATTATAAATGCAAGGTCCAGAGGTTTCAGAAGCCTCAGATATCACATTTCTCTCCCTTAGATATCTGAGTTTGGAAGTTATTTGCTTCTACTGCCTTGCTCAGATGCATAACCTTTTCATGAGCAGCAAACATTACATCAGCTTACCTCACATCTTTTTTTTCTCAGATCTTAAAATGGGTTGCTGTGAAAGTGATCAACAATGTCCCAAGAGAGAGGGAGAAAAGCAGTCCTGGGGGAGCCCAGGGTCATGCAAATGCAACACAAGGACAAGGAGGCAGCAGGAAATATCAGATAACAGAGCCAAGGGAAGGCCTTCTGAGGCATCCAGCAACTCCCCAAAACTGAGCCACACAAGCCACCACTCTGACATGCAGCTGGTCCTGCCCACAAGAGAGTCCTGGCTCCTTGGCACATTCTGTCTTGATAAAAGAAGATAAAATCAAAGTACCTTACATGTCTTGGAGCAAGCTCTTTCATGTAAGTACAGTGTTTTCCTACGCACAACTAAACTGTAATTGAGATTCCAAATTACTACAATAATTAATTACTAAAGGCATAGAGACTTTGTGTATCTGCCATGTTTATAACCATAAAGGAGTCAAAACACAGATGCTATTAAAATGCTTCACCTTAAAAATCTTTAACAAAAGGTCCTTAACAATGAATGAAAATTGAAGTAGAAATGACAAACAACTCACTGCACAATCACTGGGTGCTCCAGCAGCTAAGAATGTTCGCATTTTAATTTCCCAAGTCCAGTCCTTTTTTGATGTACTATCGTATTTTAAAATAAATCTTTCTTCAGAGAAACAAGAAGCTGACTTTAAAGACTGTAGAATATTAATCAGGAACTGAGCTTGATAAGTAGCTCTTAATATTCATGGCTTGATGAAAGAAGGTGCAGGGTACTGTTCCAGCATACGTCACAGTTGAGACAGCCACGATACACAGAGTATCACCATACAATGTCTGAAGGCTTCAAGCATCTGCCCTTCTTGTTCTTTAGCCCAACCTTTTATACCCCTCATGTTGATGCACTGCCCCTGTGTGCCCTCTGCTCCCTTTGGTGTTGGTCAGTGCCCCTGGGCACTCCAGGCTCGTTTCTGTCAGGGCTGCTCACCTGCTGCTCACAGCTGTGCCCACTGGGGATGGGGCTCAGCCACAGCCCCACTCCCAATCACCACAAACTGTGTGCCTACAGGGTTCCAGGGGGATTTTATTTGCTGCTAATTATTGTTGTTTAATTCTAGCTCTGGGAAACTTCTTTACCCACCACAGAGAAGAAAATTTATTGTAAACTGAAACACTTGCTCTCCCTTTACTGCCTGCACAAGCAATGAGGAGAGATGACTTCCTATTACAAAACACATCCACTCTAACGTCACTGGGCATGACCTTATCTTTGACTGTCTTGTTTTCACTGGAAAACATCCAGTTCTAGCCAGCACAAACCCCAGAGGTAACAAATTCAGGTTATTCTCATGTGACCTATTTTTCAATTGTTTTTTAGAGGTTAATGTCTTGTTGTCTACAGCCAGATGAGTTGGAGTGGAAGACAAATGTCTGAAACTGGTCGTCTGACAAGACTAACATTAGAACATACACAAATACAAGAGCTATTGGCAAAGGGAAGATTGAAAAGCAGAAACCAGAAATATCTCTGCACACATTAGAGAGGGTGTTGTTAACCTCTAATAAGTAATTACAGTAAACACCAGCTATTAAGAGAGTTCTGTGAATGCAAAAGACAATGCTGTGGTGCAGTTTGTGTGCAGATACCATCACAATATCCCCTTTTATCCTGAAAAATGCCAGCTTCTTCAAAGACTCTTGTTTAAGTGTTGGATGTTTGTCCTCCTATGAATCAGGTTTGAGTTGGAAAAGATGCACCTTCTCCCCTGTGTTCAGATGCAATCACTGCCTGTGAGCTGGAAGCTTTCCACCAGCACAGCTCAGCTCCCTGCTCCACTTCCATGCAAAGACAACTCAGCTCCTGCAAGGCTTGCAGCAATTTCAGCTGCTTCATTTACCTGGCAAAGTCTGCATTAAAGCAACTTAATC